AAATGTACTTAGAAATTAGCACAGTGCCTGGAGCATAAGCCCCACATAAGGGTCTGCTGACATGGTCATTATTCTACAGGGCTTTATAGAATCTGGCCCTTTTCTATCTCTCTAAACTCATCTTCTAAGTTTCAAATCTTATCGCTGCTATCCCAGCACACAGTCCTGATTTCTGTTCCTCTGACTTGTCAAGCCTTCTGTCATCTTCAAGTAAGCTTTCACTTTGTAGTTTCCTCTTTCTAGAAAGGTGTTTTCTGGAATAGAGCTTTTTTTTATATTATTTATATTGTGATCAAAAAGCCTAGTCACAGAGGACTTCTTAGGTAGATGAATTCCTCTCTCACTTCCTTTGCTTTCCTTTAGAAAAGTGGGAAAGGTTGACTCTGGTTTATGGCATTAGAGATTGTAGTCCAAGTTCACTCAGCTTCATGGCTTTTGGGATGATGTTGAGACAAAAGGTCATCCCAGGAGCATGGGGTGTAGCAAAGCTGTCCGGCTTTGGCAGCCAGGGAGCAGAGAGACTGATGAAGGGCTGAACACAGGATGCCCGCCCCCTCCAGAAGCATGCTGCCAGGGACCCACTTCCTCCGATGAGGCCCCACCTCCAAATGTTTCACTACTTCCCAATGTTGCCATCAAACTATGAATCTATCACAGGATTAATTCACTAATGAGATCAATGCTCTCATGATTCAATGCCCTGTGTTTTCAACTAACCATCATAAGATTCTTTCGGGGACATTCCATTTCTAAATCACAACCGACGACTACTACATAATCTACTTTTTATTATGCGCAGGCACTTATTTATCTATTTGTTCACTTGCTTATTTGCTATCTAAGATGTGTTTCTTGTCTCTGCCCACTAGATGGGGACCATAAAAAGTGAACTGACCCAGCACTTTGAACAACCTTTGACTTATAGATGGTATTGACTAATGAGTTCTATATGACTGTGATGTCCAGCCAGGTTTGACTATTTTAAACTACTTAATTTTAAACAAAAATGAAAGACTAACAATATGCTTATGCTTCACACTTTGTCACACTATCACATAAGTATAATTCAGGGGGAAAAAGCTGTTTTCATCTGAATATATTTAATTGCCATATTTTTCTGCACAAAAGAGGAGTCCAATTTCCTCTGACTGAGAGGCTATAGTTAAGGTATTAGCACTTGCTTGGTGGCTCAAAATTCTCCAGTGGTGTCAGGTTGGTTCTGCCCTCACTAGAGTGTTGCAATCAGAGATACTATGATAGCCAACATTGAGCAAAGCAATATGCAGTCTGATTTGGGTCAGGTACGGAGTCTGCATGCCTCCAGGGAAGAGGCTGCTGGGACATGTGAGGCAAGCAAATCACCTACTGCAAGGGACATGCTATGAGGCAACCAGGGGTCTGAGGTAGATGCCCAGTGGTGCAAAACAGGAAAGATTTGAGATGAAGCCATGGGATGCTTTAGAGTGGATCTGTGAAGATGCTGCAAGGATAGGCATAGGGTGGGTTGGGAGAGAGGAACAACCCTTTTACAGAAGACTACTGTGACATATTGATGCTGGTGAGAACAGAGAACTGCTTTTCTAAGTCAAGTAAGTAGTTTCTGAATTGGAAACCTTGAAAATCCAAACTTTAGAAAGAATCGTAGAGGACACAGCACATTGACACTTAAAAGTTTGGAAATGTGCGAGTGGCATGCAATCACCCATCTGACTCTATGGCATCAATATAAAGTACGCTGAATGACCTCAAGCAGAAGGTAGGGCAAAAGTGAGAATTTCCACCAAAGAGAAGTCATGGCTGAGTAGTTAGTGCAAATGGCTAACTGGCTTTCCATGCCAACTCTAAACAAAGGAAGGGACATCTTTAGCAGGAAAAGAACTGCAAAAGGAAAGAAGGATGTGTATGGGGTACACATGAGTATTAGTTGGACTGCTAGTCCTGCATCCTCCTTAGGAGGGTAAATGTCTTCAGTAATGAAATATTTTGATGAGCCTAGACATGGGAATGATGTGGAACAAACCCACAAAGCAAAGTGAACAGACCTGAAGAGCGCTGGCTAACAAAAATGGCTGTGGGAGAAGGAGGAGGTGGGAAGGAACTGCCAGGCTCTAGGGCAGGTAACTGAGGCTTGAGCGGAAAGGGGCTACATGAACGTCCAGCAGACAAAGCACTGGGCAGAAGCAGAGCTACATAACGATGTCTGGCTAGAACCCCGAATTCTGTGTAGGATTGGAGTATGAAAGATTCCAAAAATGATGTCACTCTTCACAGGACTGGCACCAAGAAAAGACAAGGGATTGCAAGTAGAAGGCAAACTGGAAAGGAGCCCCTGAAGTGACCCTGAGAAGCAAAAGCCCTGGCTTAGGAATAGTACCCTTTCCTCAGGTTGGGGGATGAGACAGCTGGGAAATATGTACTTAATTCTTGAAGCTGTCGTTCCTCCAATATAATCTACATCATTGTGGATAACTATTGATTATTAAAAATTACTGTCATATTAACCAAGAACATAATATTAGAAGCAAGTTCTTCATTTCCTTTTCTATACCTTCTTTGAAACAGTTTTGAGAACAGGAACAAAAGAAGCATCTTTCTCGCCATAAAAATATTTTTTTTTTCTGCTTCCTAGAGCACTGGAGGCTAAGAGATTTAGATATACACATATGGTTGTTTCAAAACCACAATGGTGGAAAATTTTGTCTTTCTAAAATCTTGCTATATAACATTCAATCTTGCCACAGCAATTTTGATACATTATGGTTAATTCCCCTGCAATCTTTCAAAGGAACATTTTGCTGAAGTGCACGAATCTACATGGGACTCTGTGACCAACTTTAATCACACTCTGTCAAAATGAGGTCTCTATTTTCCCATAATAGTTTTTAACCTATGCAAAAGATCCTGTATACTGAGAGTAAGTAGTCAATTAAAGGCTAAAATGGACCAGTGTGTAAAAGTCGCATGAAAACTAAATTATATACAACAAGAAGATAGTTAGATTTCATATAATAAAAAGAAAAATCTAATAGAAGATTGTGAGCTATAGGTACTACAGTTGATGATATTGAACAAAGAATTTTAGAAAACAAGCAATGATATTTCAACTACAGAAAATTAACTTAGAAAATAAAATCCTTTTGTGAGTTGAAATTATGGGCTTAATGACACTTAAAGATATCATTTATTACACCCAGCTAATACTGGGTGAAGGGTCATTGCCCAAAGTGTAAAGCTCTATATTGTGGAAAGAAAAAATAATACAGGCTTCTTTTTCACTCTGAAGTTTATGAAACATTTGCTGCCAAAGACATTTTTTTAAATATCTCAATACCTCTTAGCGTGATTAAATAAAATGTTCTTCACAAGCTTGTCTCTGACAATGAGCCAAAGTGAGAACAATTTTCACTGTAATCATAAATAAAAACTAACAATTTAATACATGTAACATCAACTCATTTCTCCCTCTGACTGCAGCTAATTCAGGCTGAAAACAAGGTCAGGAATTTCTTAAAACTCTCAAACAGTAAACTCCATCTTCTTTGAGAAGGCTTTTCTAGCTGCACACATTGAGTATTTGTAAAAATGGCAATGTACGAAAACCTTTGGGGAAACAGCTGAGTCTTGCCCTCTCTCAAGAGGAGCTCTTCCAGGTGGTGTCTGTCTGACACTGACTGGTCGCCTGCCTGCCTACCTACCTTCAGTCACACATGTGTAGGTTAGCTGAATGTCCTATTCATCACTCTTGTATTAATCACTCTATTCAGAAGAATAGAAAGCACTATGTAAGAATGAGGAGCACCCTTAGAGTGGGTTGACCAGAGAGACCCAACACAAGGCAACAGTTGCCATCAAGATGATAACTCATGTAATCTTCTTTACCTCCCTGGAAGATTAGTTGCTGTTCCCGGTTCTGCAAGTGAGGCAACAGAGACAAAGACCGAGTAGGCAACTCTGATAGTTTTAAAGCAAAAATACAGTTGCACAGAAACATAATCAAAATCTTGAGGACCTGGCTACAAAGATCAGAAATGTAAGCATATTGTATACTCTGTGCTACTTTCGGGGAAACCCTAGAAAGAAAAAGACAAGCCCACTAAGGTAACATGGAGGAGTCACAGCAAAGCTGCACAATCCAAGCACAGAACACAAGGCCGCCTTCCTCATCCATTTTCTTCACAGTACACGAATTTTCATGATTCTGTAGCAGTTATGGTAAAGCCTTGTTTATAGATGATGGGCAAAGGACTCCTTATAAATTTCTGGGAAATAGAACAACAAGCTAGGAAGAAAAGTAACATTTCTGTGTAGCCTTGCAGCATATGTAACTTCCTTGAGAAATGGTAACCACACTATACTTGAGGACTGTTGGAAAGGCCAGGAATTAACACATGAAGCAACATCAAATTGCACCAGGTAATAAGATACACCGGTGTTTTTCAAACTGTTTTGAAGGACTGCAATGCTCCCAAAGTCTCCTTAAATGATCCTTTAACCTAACTTTAACTCTACTTTTATATGCCTTACACACTGAACTTTCTACATGATTTTTAATGAAACAGTTCCAAGTCTTAAAATGCATGTTGTAGACATTTCTATTACCACCTTTGCATACTAATAGATATAGTTTATTCATCCACATATTCATTCATCTTCTTAGGTATTAGGAAAACACAGGGAAGCTTCACACAGCCCCATGACTCAGGAGCATGCAATTTTAGGAATTGATCTAATTTGAGTGCTGAAATGAATTAAAATGAATTATTGGCCTACGTCCTCTTGTTAGGGCAACGTGATCATAGCCAGTGTGTTGAGCTCCTTTCAGGGTTGCAAATTTTAACTTTTTGTTCACCATCGACAAAGGAATCTCACTGGCAGACACTTGATTGTATTAGTCTGAGAGAAGTGAGAAAGGAAGATTTATGCTCACTTAAAGCCAGTGCCAATAAAAGTGGAGCACCGCTATTTTTCTTTAAACGCGCAAAAATGGTTTCATTTCTTACCTCTAGAGCCTTCAATCTTTCTAAGAGCAATCTGGTTTTCTCTTTTCCCTCGTCTGTACTGCTGCTCTCACTCCTTGAATCCTCATCCACCACCGTGTGGAGATCGTCCAGAGGTTCCCTGTGCTTTCTCTCCTCTGACCGTTTTTCCTGAAGAAACAAAGAATTATTGTTTTCATTAATCTCCAAGTGGAAAATAAAAAGTGGTATAAAGCCTAAAAGCTTGGAATTTCTCTATTGCTTTTGCATTCTTTTCTGATGTGAAGTGAAGAAGATTTTGATGAGTAAATTCCGAGTGATGCTTACATCAGTAAACTGTTGACTGTTTTTACTGCATTCTGGCGGTCAAACCCATTGAGTCCAGCTAGAGAAGGGACAAAGACAGCAAAGCCCGGTGGAGGCATGCAGTTAATCCATTTTTATCTGCACAATGGACTCAGCTGTGCTTTAAACCAGAGGAAAATACATCGACCTTGATGCCTTGATTTGTGAAAGGCTTAGCACATCAAAAATATGATCATTAAAGTCACTGGACATACAACTATCAATGTAAGGAAAAATAAAATATGAAATGTTGAAATAGGGAACTCAGAATTCAAAGCTGCAAGCATTTAGTTCCTTCCACTCAATAAGGCTTTTAAGGAGCCCTTAGTAACTTCTCCAACCCTACAGGTTTTGTAATATAGCCTTGAGGCAGAAATAAAAAACATTATCTTGTCTTGCATCCCAGTTGGAAGCTCTTCATTCAACCTTGTGTCTGGCAGCTTTGGGGAAGTTGAGAAGTGTTAATTTGAGACTCAAGCTTCGCTCTTGTTTTCAAGGGAAGAAGAAATGTCAAGAGGATATCATAGGAACAAAATATGATCCGTTGTGGTTCCTTCAAGACCCCTGCGCCCCACAGACAGGTGAAATCATTCCTTCATATTGTTAATTCCAAACACACCCTGCAGAAATCCTTGCTTTAACATAGCTGCTTGCCAGCCGTCTGGGCTAAGCTGGATTGTCAATGGTGTGAGACTTTTTATATTTAGCACTAAGACAAGATCATTTGCAAAGATACAAGAAAAAATAAATTGTACCCTTAAGGGACTCACACTGTCTACTTCGAAACAGCATAAGGAGACAAAGTCAGGTTTTCAAAATGCTTGGGAGTTTCTAAAAGTATTTTCAATCATTTTTGAAAATACCTTATGAAGTATGTAAAAACAACTGTATTAATTCACATGTATATCTGTATACAATCCTAAGCATGCATTTAATGTATATAATATATATTACATATAGTCACAGAGACTACAGAGACAGTAAACTGGGATTCATAGTAAGTCTCTTGTGCAGATTTTATAATTTATCCTGTCATCTCTTTATATATGCATAGTCCTACTTTCTTATCAGGCCCACAGATACATACCCACACAAAGTGTAGCTATAGTCACTACTAGAGGAGATGCGAGTTCAGCTTGAAAAATGCAGAGTAAGTTTAAGGTACACGTGCACAGGGCAGAAAACCAACCACCACCATGGTAGCATTTGTGTAGCTTTGAATCTCTAAGGTTTGCCTACGGTCACACATTCATTCCTTTGATACAGGATATTACATTTGTATGTGTTATTTTGTGTGTGTGTGTGTGTGTGTGTGTGTGTATGTTATTAACAACTCAACTTTGAAAGCAAATGTACATTTTTCTCTTAAGAGTTGGGATGAATGTAATTAATCACTAAATTGGATTATAAAACAAGTTTATTTTTGAGGTATAATTTTTGTGTTCTTCTTAATGTATACTATGGGTTTTCATTGCTCTCTGTGCAAATTATACTTGTATTTTACATATACCCCACCTTGTAATCTGTAATAATTAGGACTCCATTGCTGATTACAATAAATAAAATCCACTGATACAGGAAATGGAAACTGGAATCTGATAGCTATATTCCAGATCTGTTATCCACTTTACTAATTTGGCAAATGACCATAGATAAACATTGTAACAAGTCTTTGCTTTTTATCTCCTAAGCAACACTAATGTCATATACAAGGCATTACTGAAAAAATACAGTAAGCATTTAAATTAAGATTATTGTAACAAAAGACACGTTGTCATCAATCCATCTCAAGACATTCCCTCTCATTCATATACACTTACACCATCATTCTTGCCATTTTTCATATTTTATTACTTTTAACTACTCATTTTTTAGATTTGCACTTATTTGTACAGGAAGTTTACATTCTATGTAGGAAGTTAAGACATGTACATAAAACATTCCCATCTTGATGCCCTCTATTTTAGTATATGAGTACAGTACATAATGTTTACAGCACTTGTGCTACAGTAGTTGGCACATGATACATCTTAATTCTTTTTATCCACTGAACCTCCCCATCTCTTCTCCCTTCCTCCCTCTCTCTATCCCCTTTCTCTTTGAGAAAGATCTATCGCCCTTCTTCTAATCTATCTTGGAGTTTGCTCTTTATTTGTGCTTCAGGAATCTCATGTAAGAGAAATCATGGGACACTGAAGCTTGTGTGTCTTACTTCACTTACCATTCCAGTTCTGGAAGTTCCCTGTCATGAGTGTTTTTAGTCATGCTGTGGTGGCTGGTTCAGTGTCCCGTATCAATTCAGAATGTTTAGCTTTCAGGGTCATCTTGAATTTAGGGAAGAGTCAGATTCAGCCTGCCTTCCTACGGGATGACATCCGGCACCAGCAGTCACTGTATTCTCTTACCTCACCTCAGACAGACATTCATGAAAGATGACAACTAGAACTGCTTTAGAAAGGAGAAGGAATGACGGAATAAATGTGCTTGCATCAAGGTGTAGTGTCTTTGATGAGGCTTAATGGCAATCTGGTTATTATAATTGAAAACAAAATTTAAACATTATGTATTTTGATGACACCTCATACATTCTCATATATACAGAGTCAATTCTAATTATCCACAGTAGTTATGTTCTATAAAATTGTCAAGACCACTAAATTAGCTCCTACAGGGTAACACACAGGGAAGTTCCTATGAGACCCTGATCACCATAGCCTCACTCGCCAATCAATATAAAATTTTATATCGTGTATGTTTCTATTAAAGGCATCTAGTTATATATTATCAACTCATTGCCATTGAAATATGAAAAGGATGATAAATTATCCCTGAGTAAAGCTTAACGAATACCTATTTTTTCAGTTAGGTACAGTTAGGCGTGTGAGGTAGCACCTCAACAGCATGCTTGGGTACTTTTTAAAAATGTATTTATTTATTTGATACAGGGCCTTCCTATACAGTTCAGACTTACAGTGAGCCTCCTGTCTCAGTCTCCCTAATGCTGAGGTTACCGGCATGAGCCACTGGGCCCGGGGTCCCTGTGCCAGCATGTGGTACTTGGAATTGAACTTGGGTCCTTGTGCTTGCCAGGCAGGTGCTTAGACCACTGAGCTGTCTTCCCAGCTCACTTGGGTATTAATTGATGCAGTGAAATCATCAAAAGAAAGCCTAAGATACAGAAAACAGTGCTAAATAGACTGCAAACAGAACATTTGCTTATTGTATAAGAGGTAAAACAAGGAGGCAAAATGTTCTGCTCAATTTTAGGGAAGAGTATGTGTGTTAGTTGATACATTGTGTCAACTTGGCTGAATCAGCTCCGGCAGCATGGGGGCCTCACCCTGCAGGTGGGCAGGGCCCAGGAATTGAGAAAGGCAGGAAGCCGCCCTGCCAGACGTCCTGCCCTGCTTCGGTGAGAAGTCTCAGTCTTCGGAGGAGCTTGGTCTTCGCGGTCGCGCCACTTTGGAGGAGCTCCGATCTTCACTGTGGAGCGCTGGTCTTCGCAGTCAGCGCAGAAGGAAGAGAGAGGCTTGATGGACCCCGCCGCAGTTGCTGCTCCTCCTCTGCTCTTCATTGTTTTCTGCCGCATGAACTGCTGCTGTTTGCCTTGGAGCCAGTGGAATATGGACTGAACCCTCCAGTAACTGTGCGCTAAATAAACCTTTCCTTCCTTCATTTTGTGTGTCGGGTATTTGTCCCAGCAATGAGTAAAAAGTAACTAAGACAGTCTGACTCTTAGATGAGCCCACTATCATTCTGTGCATGTCCATGAATAACCACGAAAAAGCAACTGGGTTTACAGATAAACTGCAGTGAATAGACAAATTGACAAATACAAACCTGCCTGAAACGAAGGCCTACTGTACATAACAAGCACATTTAAATATTCAACATTAAAGCCTAGACACCACGCTTAAACATTATGTGAAACAAATGGAGATAATTTAAGATCATATATAAACTATATGTGCTTATTTGAATTACATGAAATTCAAGGGTCATTTTACATAACTTGATACATAATTTGCAGAAGGGAATGTCACCAAGGGAAGTAGGTTTCTTGGAAAAGAAAGGTGAATTACAAAATGATGATTGTTAGAGACATACACGGTGACAGTGTGGTCAGTGTGATACTGAAAAATGCTCTATTTGGGACTAAGTTTTTCTTTATTGGTTTGTGAGGTATCTAGTTTGATTATAGCACAGAAAAAAATTTAAGAGTAGTTTAGAAATAGGATTAAAAGGAAAAGAAAGGATTCTTGGAAATGAGAAAAAAATTAGACACACTTGCTTTATTCTTTTGTTTAGCCAACAAAAGTTTACTGTGCACTGATGACTGGTCGTTTGCTAAAATAAGTGCTAGAAATATGAAAAGCGAAATAAAGCTCCTAAATTTCATGACATTATCTTCTAATGTTTGGAAACATGACAAACCCCAAAGCACACAACATAAAATAGCATACTATGAGAAGCGGCAACCTGGGCTGATGCGATGTTAGATATGGCACTATCAAAATAAGCCCCAGAGGCGGCCCTCTGAGCTGACTCCAAAGGATGAGAAAGAAGCCCTGGCGCAGTGATCTGGGAGAAGAGCACCCCCACAGAAGGAAAACAAAGCAAATGTCTCCTGGGCGCTCTGCTCGTCTTGCGGGCCAGCTAAGGAAGGGTCTCTGTGATGGAGCAGAGTAATAGCAAGATGAGGGGCAGTAAAGCCACTGGGATTCTATTTTAAGTAGATAAAGAGGAACAGCAAGGAAGTTCAGCAAGGAAGTGATAAGTTCTGATATGTACATTGGAATCACCATCCTGACTGCTGCCCTGGAGAA